AGAGGACCCAACCTGGAGGGTGGCTGTCCTTCTGGGCAGAGTAGCTGAAGCCTTCAGAAGTCCATCGAGGTCCCAGCTCAGAGACAGCTGGGGGGGGGCTAACTTTCTAAAAGGAGCCTGAGAAAATTCAAAGGGGGTTCACTGAGGCTCTGGCCTGGACGTTCACAGGAGATGTGTCTGGCTGGTATTGGATGGAGGCATTCAAGTACATGGGGAATATAGATTGGAATGTGAGATCCTAGTGACTGTCCCTGCTTTAACCCTTTGACTATCTGCTCTACGGTTGCTGATATGGGACCGTTCTTTTGTTTAGAGTCCCAGGGTTGCTTGTTCTCCTATGGTCAGCCAAGAGGAGAATTGTCACTCTTTACGTCTGGAGGAAAAGAAATGTAATCTCCAAACACGGAAAGGTTTCTTCACTGTGAGAGCTGTGAAAATGTGGAATAGACTCCCTCAAGAGTTGGTTCTGGCCAGCTCAGTGGATTGCTTTAAAGAAGTCCTGGATTCTTTCTTGGATACACAGAATATAACATGATACTAATATTTATAGGTAACGTTGATCCAGGGAATGTCTGATTGCCTCTCGGGGGATCAGGAAGGAATTTTTTCTCCTGCAGGAGCAAATTGGATCATGCTTTGATGCTTTTTCTGCCTTCCTCTGGATCAACTGTGGGTATAGGATTATAACTTTTTTTTTTTTAATGGTTGAACTAGACGGACTGAACTAGACTGACTTTTTGTCTTTTTTCAGCCAGACTAACTATGTAAATACTGTATATGTAACTTTTGCATTACTTTCAATGATACTGACATCTCTTGGCATGGCACTTTAACTCTAGGTTTACTCACTTACTTCATGACCCCAAATGTGGAAATCCTTTGATGTGTAGAAGCTGCCAGCCAATATTCAGGATCTCTACATTTAGAATGTTAATGTTATGAAGAGTCTAGACAAATCAAAGAGCGTCCTCTGCTTAATAAATTTGGAGTATCCCAAAAGTTCACTCTGCACCCTATCAAAATCCAACGAGCATCAAATCTTAAAAATGCTTCCCTGCCTGGTCCTTGATCATGCTGGTATGTACCTGACCGCCTTTGCACCCAATAGGGAATAGAACCTCGGACAACTCTGTGGGGCCCCTTGGGGGTCTGCACTACATATTTCATAAAGTTAACCTTATTACAAAACCTCCCCACATTAAATCTTCATTTATACACAAGGCTTTTTTCTCAGACAATAGGTGTAGGAACTCTCCTTTGCCAAGTTACACCCTTGTCTCCACCCCTTACCCACCTCCAAGCACTGTTCCTTGGCTCCATTCCCTCCCGTATCACTCTTTTAGAGAATACCGAATCAAATATCATTTTGTGGTGCTGAGTAATTTGTATGGAATTTGTTAATGATAACAAGAGCAGTAAAATAGATTGCCTGCAGCCAGCAACAATGGATCAAGCCAGCAACAATAGATCTCCAGAAACAATAGATCTCCTCCAGCAACAATAGATCCCGCTGGAAACAATAGATCTCCCCCAGCAACAATAGAGCTCCCAGAAACAATAGATCCCTCTGTCAACAATAGATTCTTTCAGCAACAATAGACCCCCAAGGAAAATAGAGTCCCCCAGCAGCAATAGTTCTCCCCTTAAGTCAGCAATATCAGACCCCTCTCTGAACAGTAGATCTATCCTATCAACAATTGAACCCACCCCCAGCAATAAAGGCCCACCCCAGCAATGATAGATTCCCCCAGCAACAAAAGACCCCCCAGCAACAATAGATCCACCACCAGCATCAATAGACCTCTCCAGCACAACAGACACCCCACAAAAATAGACCCCCCAGCAACAATAGATCAATAGACCCTTCAGCACATCCCTGCATTCCTTGCCATTACATTCAGTGCTGGAGGTGCCAGAACTGCGTTTCCCCGCGTCACTGCTGAAAAAAGAGTCCTGCTTATATGTATATGAAATTGGCAATATGCTAGACACAATCCTACCCCACAAACCGCAGGGAACTCACAATGGATTCCAGGGCCACAATTCAGATCACCCCACATGAGGCGTGTGCAGGGGCGGACTGACCATTTGGAAACTCGGGCACTGCCCGAGGGCCCGGGGTCAGTAGGGGGCCCCATGAGATGCCCCTGGTACTTTTTTAATAGGCTTTTTTGAGTTTGGGCAAGGACACAGGGGCCCCATGATCCCCTATTGCCCGGGGGCCCCCATGAGTTGTCAGTCCGCCCCTGGGCGTGTGTATGCATATACACAGATACATGGCCACACACACATACATAAATGATGTATTCTAGGTTACAATACATGGGCTCATAGCCTGCCATCTCAGAAAGTGACCAAAATATGTTTGAACTATATTTGCATAATACCTTGTATGTAATGGGGTCTACAAACAAGCAATTCAAATAAATCATTGGTATCCTTCTCAAAAATACATCAGAGCAGTCTTTCTCAATCTTTTTACCCCCAAATGAAACCCTTACAACAATTTTCTGGTCTCATGGAACCCCTAGTAAGATTAGTCCATTAGTCTAACTTGCCTATGGAGGGTCACAGAGGGTAGCAAAGGGACAGAGATAGGATACTCCAGCTCTTGCACCACAAGGTTGAACAAACCTTTATCAGTGAGCAACACTTCCTAGCTCTTCATTCAATGACAGAATGTCTAGTTGACTATTTTCTGTTCTTTACTTAACCCCCCTGGCGGTATTCCCGAGTGTAGTTCGGGGTAAATTTCAGCACCAAAAGTGGTAACCCCAAGCTACACTGGGGAATACCATGTGGCGCTGTTCCGGGATCCCTCCAGCACTTACCTTGTCCTGCAGTCCCGTGATGTCCCCCCTGCAGCGTCCCCGGCCATGTTCTCTGGTCGATGCCGAGATCTGTCTTCTGGGTTCCGTTCCCTGTGAGTGTCAGTACGTACGGGCAGGGGCGGAATGACAACTCATGGGGCCTCCGGGCAATAGGGGATCATGGGGCCCCTGTGTCCTTGCCCACACTCAAAGCACACCCAGAAAAGCCTATAAAAGGTACCAGGGGAATTTCATGGGGCCCTCTACTGACCCCGGGCCCTCGGGCAGTGCCCAAGTGCTCGAATGGTCAGTCCGCCCCTGCGTACGGGACATACGGGGGACAGAACCGGCGGGAAATGTAAAAATTTAAAAATGTGACGTTCACTAAATACACTAAAATCACATAGTATAACATTCCTGTATCAAACCATTTCACATACATTTTGTCCCGAGTGCTTTGCCCTGAGCCCTGCCTGCATTTTTACTGTTCTATCTGCCTGGAAACTGAGAAATGTCCATGGCGTCCAAAAAGCGTCCCTTTAGGTCAAAAGCGGTTTTAGACCGGCTAGAGAACAGCGATAGTAAATCAAAACCACTTGCAGAATTGAGTGATAATGATTCGTGGGAGAAATTCCTCATCAGACACTGAAAACGATTCTGCGACTTTGCTCAGCGATGTGCGAACTTGTCGCTATATTTCACATTTCAGTGTTTTTGGTTTGATTACATTATTGAATTAAATTTATTATTATTATTTTTTATGATTATTTATTATATTATAATTTATGATTTCGTGTTTCAAGTTTTATCCTACCCGGG